AGCAATATCAAGCTTTTTCCACTTCATATGACTCGGGCGCTATCATTTCACTGGAATTGATGATTGTGTAATTTTCGTTTCGTGTAAATTTAGTTTGTAGTTGTAAAAATGAGACATATTGTCTCCTCCTCAACAAAACAAATACATTAAAACATACCGCTCAACAAATAAATGTCAGCCCTGAGTGTTTTGATTCAGATAAATGAATCAGTAATCAAAAACTAAAATAGTGACTTAGTGATGTAAATGCTGTAGCGTTCAAATGATTATGGAATGATTTAACAAAATCTATGTTGCAGTGATTCAAACCAAGTGGAAAAACAAAGGAATCCATTATCAGTGTTGCAGTATTTGTATTTGGAAACACAAAATAACACATAATCTGTGTTGCAGTAAGTTCTATCATGTGGAAACACAAAATAACACATAATCAGTGTTGCATTAAGTTGTATCACGTGGTAAAACAGAATAACACATAACCAGTGTTGCAGTGATTTGTATTTGGAAACACAAAATAACACATAATCTGTGTTGCAGTAAGTTGTATCATGTGGAAACACAAAATGACACATAATCTGTGTTGCAGTAAGTTCTATCATGTGGAAACACAAAATGACACATAATCAGTGTTGCATTAAGTTGTATCACGTGAAAAATCAGAATAACACATAACCAGTGTTGCAGTGATTTGTGTTTGGAAACACAAAATAACACATAATCTGTGTTGCAGTAAGTTGTATCATGTGGAAACACAAAATGACACATAATCTGTGTTGCAGTAAGTTCTATCATGTGGAAACACAAAATGACCCATAATCAGTGTTGCATTAAGTTGTATCACGTGAAAAAACAGAATAACACATAACCAGTGTTGCAGTGATTTGTGTTTGGAAACACAAAATAACACATAATCTGTGTTGCAGTAAGTTGTATCATGTGGAAACACAAAATGACACATAATCTGTGTTGCAGTAAGTTGTATCATGTGGAAACACAAAATGACACATAATTTGTGTTGCAGTAAGTTATATCATGTGGAAAAAACAGAATAACACATAATCAGTGTTCCAGTGATTTGTAATTGGAAACACAAAATAACACATAATCTGTGTTGCAGTAAGTTCTATCACGTGGAAACACAAAATGACACATAATCTGTGTTGCAGTAAGTTGTATCACGTGGAAAACAGAATAACACATAATCAGTGTTGCATTAAGTTGTATCACGTGAAAAAACAGAATAACACATAACCAGTGTTGCAGTGATTTGTGTTTGGAAACACAAAATAACACATAATCTGTGTTGCAGTAAGTTGTATCATGTGGAAACACAAAATGACACATAATTTGTGTTGCAGTAAGTTATATCATGTGGAAAAAACAGAATAACACATAATCAGTGTTCCAGTGATTTGTAATTGGAAACACAAAATAACACATAATCTGTGTTGCAGTAAGTTCTATCACGTGGAAACACAAAATGACACATAATCTGTGTTGCAGTAAGTTGTATCACGTGGAAAACAGAATAACACATAATCAGTGTTGCAGTGATTTTTAGCATATGGGAATACAAAATAGCACATAATCAATGTTACGATGATTTGTATCGCGTAGAAATACAAAATAACAAATAATCAGTGTTACAGTGATTCGTATTACGTGGAAAAACAAATAACACTTAAAACACATAATCAGTGTTACGGTAATTCGTATCATGTGGAAATACAAAATAACACAATCAATGTTACAGTGATTCGTATTACGTGGAAAAACAAATAACACTTAAAACACATAATCAGTGTTACGGGGATTCGTATCACGTGGAAATACAAAATAACACATAATCAGTGTTACAGTGATTTGTATCACGTAGAAATACAAAATAACAAATAATCAGTGTTACAGTGATTCGTATTACGTGGAAAAACAAATAACACATAAAACACATAATCAGTGTTACAGTGTTTTGTATCACGTAGAAATACAAAATAACAAATAATCAGTGTTACAGTGATTCGTATCACATGGAAAAACAAAATAACACATAATATGTGTTGCAGTAAGTTCTATCACGTGGAAACACAAAATGACACATAATCTGTGTTGCAGTAAGTTGTATCATGTGCAAAAAACAGAATAGCACATAATCAATGTTACGGTGATTCGTATCATATGGAAATACAAAATAATCAGTGTTGCAGTAATTTGTATTGCGTAGAAATACAAAATAACAAATAATCAGTGTTACAGTGATTCGTATTACGTGGAAAAACAAATAACACTTAAAACACATAATCAGTGTTACGGTAATTCGTATCATGTGGAAATACAAAATAACACAATCAATGTTACAGTGATTCGTATTACGTGGAAAAACAAATAACACTTAAAACACATAATCAGTGTT